TATTTCCTAATATAAATAAACAAATAAACCAAGATTAAATACACTTTTATTTTACATTTAAGTAGTAAAGTAGAAATAGAAATTATTATTCTCTTTAATTTTTCTTTTACTTTAATTAATCTCATGTAACTTTAGGTAATATTTTATGGATTAGAATTTTTAAACAAAAAAAAATTAATAATAATTTTGAAATAAAATTCTTTTCTTTTTCTCTTCTTCTTTTACTATGTTCTTTGTGACTTAACATTTAATTTCAATGATTAAGATCATCAGTCAGTTGAAGTTAGACCACCATGGAAAACCTGGAAACACTGGACGGCCGTTTCGTTTTATTGTAGGACTCCTCAGCAGTGCGCAACCATGACCTCGCTACTGCGAGATTCGAACCCAGGACCTACTGGTTTCGCGCGCGAGCACTTAACCACTGAACCGGCATCCAACGGTGTTAATGTCTAACTTCAACTAATCCACGAAATTGAGTGACTTATTCATCACTGTCATCAGTGAGTTACTATCTCATAACAGACCTGGTTGAACTCCACTGGTCACTAATTCTCACTAGAACTCCATGATATACCTCGTGAAGCCAGTCACTAGTGAGCATATGTTGATTAATATCAGATGGGTTTTGTGGAGAAGCTAGACGTTCATGGAAAACCCGAAAGCACATTTAATTTTTTAATGATAATACTTAACAAGATTATGGGATGAATTATCATCAGGTTAATGAATATTATAAATAAGTTATAAAAACCAATTTGCTATAAGCTTAGATATAATGGTTACTAATTAGTAACTAATATTGATACTTTATAGGGTTGTGGATACAGTCAGTCAGTCAGTTATAACATACCACCAGGCACATATATGCATCGGTTCAAGTTGCCACACCTCATTAACACAACAAGATGGACACCGGATTCATAAAAGTAGTTAATTCAGAGGTGGTAATATATAAAAGAAAGATTGCAATAAGGATATAATACAGGAAGAAAGAATCGATTCATAGAAAGAAAGATATGAGGCGATTTTAATCTCTTAGTTTAAGGGAAGACAGAGAGTGTATATACCGACGCCATTGTGATCGACTCTGAGCCATGTCACCCACAGTCTCCAACCACTGGTTACGATAGTCACGCGGACCCCAACCAAGTAGTCTGCATCTCCCAACATGGCTCAGACTAGAAGTTAATGTCTTCAAGCACTGATGCCGTGTTTTGGTTTAGCCACCACTAACGTTCTTCCAACCCTCGCTAACACCGGTTAGCATTGCACGTCGCGGCAATCGGTGTTCAGGCATATGTAACACGTGGCCCAACCATCTCAGTCGACGAAGATTTACAACCTCATTAACTGATATACCATCACTCCCTAATACCCTGTGTCTAACCCCACTATTGTTTACCGGGTGATCCGAGCAGATGCCAGAAATATTTCTAAGACATCTGTGGTCAAATGCTAGTAGCTTACGAGTACCTTCTACTCTTAATGGCCATGTTTCGCTGTCGTAAATTAAAACAGAACGGACTGCCGCGCAGTATACTGATAGTATATTCATAGACGGATATCTAGCTTTCGCCATAGGTGACGTAAGTTGGTAAAAGCCAAACGAGCTTTTCGAATCCGTGCTTTGTGGATATAGATTACTGTAAAGTCCCATACTAGGACAAAACAGTTGTCCGGTGTTTTTTTGTGTGGTTTGTAATGGTTGTATAACTTAGGTTTGTTTGTCATCTCATTAACAGCTAGAAAACTTTGCAAGCCGACATACAGATGATTGTCATGTGCTTACTAGTGACTAATTTTGAGAGGAAGCTGTGACCGGTGAAATTCAACCGTATCCGGGTTAAGGCAGTCAGACAATGAAGATAGTGAAGGATTATTGAGAAATATCATGAACTATTTGAAGTTGGATATGTAAACCATTGGATGCCAGCTAAGTGATCCGAAGGTCCATGGGACATATCCCCGATGGTTGCGTCGTGGATGAGCATTGATAGACAGGCCTATACTAGGACAAAACAGAATTCTATCGATTAAGCTATGAAATGCAGATATTTTCTATGTGACACAACATGTACTGATGCTAGATAATTGGAAGAAAACCCTTGATCTATGTTTAGTTTTTGCACCACTTGATCGCAGTTCGTACAGAATATGACAGACAAAAAAAGGAAAGATCATCGGTGAATGATTTATGACTTTAAATTTCATACATAATTACTAATATATTAATTGATAAATAATTATTAATAATAGAATCTTGGTTAAACAAATGTCTATAAATAGCACTTTGATTTCTCGATATAATCACTCAGTTGTCCAATTGTTTGGCTCAATCAAAGACTTGAGGTTGAAATTAAGGGATCAATTCTGTGAACGATATAATAATGTAATTACCATTTTCATTCCATTTTAGTATTAAATCAACAGTGTTATAACAATGCTAACTAGTTAAATCCTCTCTTTCCACTCAAAAACAAATAAGACAGAAGTTTTCTTCAGTGGTCCACATGTAACATGTGCTCGTGAACGAAGTGGATGAGATGAATTTCCTATAACTTCCCAAGCGCAATTTTAATAACATTTTCTTCAAACTTAAGAATGCGTTTTCTACATATGCTTGGATGTCAGATTATCTGCTAATTTAACTTGACTTATAATTGTATAAACAATAAGTATTGACAGCTTTGCTAAATTTCTTAATGTTTATTTTTTTTGACAGTCACAAGTAGGGAATTCAGATGACTTACTGTGCAGTTGCCACCAAAAATATGATATACAGATGACACTTGGTATATTACAATCTCAAACTAAATCCTATGTAATCACTACTTATTTGAACAACTGAACCGGTTAACAACAGTTTATATTTTACAGAGCCTATGTGATTTCGAATAATCAGTTTTCCTTCTCTTTTCGATATAATACCAACGGAGTATTTATTGAAAATTATGGAATATTACATTCCCAAAATAATAATTACAGAATTTATGCTAGTGTACAGGCATGATTATCCTGATATAGATAGTAATATTAAATGTAGAGGACATATGCGGTATTAGATTGCTTGAAGTGCTCTAGTTCAAAATTGTTTAGATAGTGCATTCTTCACATGTATTACAGAAATGAAAGGTGTCAACCAGGAACTTTTAATTCTTTTTAAGTGGACGTCTTGTTGATGCATGGATGGTGTACTTAAGGTCATTTCCTGAGCCATAACGACCAGACTATAATAATCTGCCGTCTGTCGAATATTAAGTCTGCTTACACCAAGGTCATGGAGGGTGTTTTGCGAATCAGTTACGCAAAGTATAATTCGTTGGTTTAGGAAGCGGGGTTTCGACAAATCACCTATTGTTTTTGGGTTTAGCTGGGATGATGAAACGGTGGATCAGTCAGTTCTTGTTTGTGTGGCCATGTAAACACCCCGATGATAGGAAAAGTCAAACCTGTTGGGCAGTATATGGTAAATAAAATGCTTCCACGATATCGAATATGCTACACATTTACACGGATTTTTAATTACAAGTTGACTAGAGCTCTTGTGGATTATGAATGATTTTAAAAGAAAAAACCTGTAGAAATATGTGAGTAGTCTTAAAGAATTACGATTTACTGCTTACATTTTGATTTAGTTGAATGACATACGCAAGAAATTTAGTTCAAAGTGAACAGCGAAATTTAGTTTCTGTTTGGTCTTGATCAAAGTTCATCAGTAAGATAGTTACCTTCATAGTTTTGTAGTAGGAACTATATATATTCTTATATTCATTATATTTTACTCTTTACGGGAGCATGATGAGAACAATCATCCGATTTCAAGTTACTAAACGTATTGAAATCAAGAAATTAGGGTTGGTATGTTCTTAAAAGTGAGGACAGCCCACAGGAAACCATACAACGTTTTCTACAATTTCGAATGAAAGATAATCCTATTTATATTTTACCACTGCAACCAAAGGCATGAAATTTGTGTCACAGAAGTACCAGTCATTCACTTCCTTTATAAAATCTGCAATCGAATTACGATTTTACTGAATTGAAATCATGAACCGATCGATGTTAGACCACTATTGAAAACCTGGACGTCCTAGTATGGAACTCCTCATGAGTGTGCATTCACGACTTTCCATGCAGAAATGGAACCCAGGACCTTCAGTCTCGCTTGCGGATGCCTAAACTGTAGAACAAATTGAGGTGCAGTAGTGTTAATTTCTAACCCTAATTAACCCACGACGATTTTCTTCGATGGGTAACTGTCTCACACCTGACACGGATTAACTCTACTAGTCACGGATCCTGACTAGAATTCCTAAAATTTCCTCTTGAAGCCAGTTATTAGTGAAAGCATGATAACAGTCAGTATGTGGTTGCGAAGATTGTTGAATTACATTGAGATCATGGACCGACTTAGCGGTCTACGTATAAAGCATCCGCGTACGGGATCGAAAGTCCTGAGTCGTGAATGCGCCCTTCTGAGGGGTCCCATACTAGCACGCCCAGTACTTCAAGGTTCTCAATGTTGGTTTAACTTGGATCGATTGATGGTTTTAGTGAAATTCAACAATCTCCACAACCCCATTCTGACTACAACTTTACTGGTCAGCTTATGTTCTACCTTTCATATGTTTCTTAATGTATCTTAACAGTTTCTATGTACATGTAACAGTTAAAGTTAGATTAGTGATTTCGATTTCTGAGCTTCCAATTTTACAAGCGTCAGTTTCCTCAGGATTATAAGTACACATTGGTGATGCGTGCTAGCTAGGGAGAAAATTAGGTTCAGGCTTCCTAGTCGACTATTTGTAACCACCTGATACACCATCCTGAATTTAAATCTTAGTCAACATACAAAAAAGTAACCTCAAACTGTAAATCTAGGAACTAATACCGAGGTACTTGATCTAGAAACTCATAAAACAAGACAATGATAATATATCCGTTCCTAAATATTAACAACTAGAAAAAGATTATAAACCCTTACAAACACTAATAAATAATACTATTTAGGCACATATATATTTTTATAGTAATTCAAATTGTAGTGAAATGCAGTAATTTATAATAAAAACTATAAAGGGTTTAACAAATAATGGATGAAAATATAGTGAAATGAAAAAAGAAAAGGTCAGTGATAAATAATAAGCAATTTGACAATGACGGAGAAAACAGAACAATATACTACTGATGAATTTTCATTGTCTGCACATATCTACCGTAAATGCACTGTTTAAAATGGTGTTTGTTTACAGTATACAGTTTTATTGAATTTATGCTAAAAGTTAGAAAGGGTGAAATTACCACGAAAGCTGATCATCACCATCAAATCAACATTGAAATCGAAAACTTCGAAAGCAAAAATTCAAAACACGTTATATATATGTAGATATTATCCGAGTAGATGAAAACAACAATGACATATTATTCAAGAACACCGAAATTGATGAATTTCATTACAATGAGTGAGTTGTAGCAATATGAATAATAATAGTAACAACACACAATAAATAAATATAATGATAAAAGAAAAAAAACTCAAGTCAAAAATTATAGTCAAGGAAAAAAACAAAAAGGACAACAACAGAAATGACAACTGGAAAGAAAGATAAAAGCACAACAAATATCACGTAATATGTCGATTATGTAAACCTGAACTGTAGACCTTGAAACATTTTACATTTAAGCTGGAAAATGAAAAAAATCTATACAAAAAAATACTATCCTATTAAAAAAGAAACCACAACAAATAAACGAAGAAAAAAAACAAGGTTAGACAAATATGCTACTTAAACAAATAAGCTAAGTATATTAGGTAGATATTATTAACGACGCCAGAAACCAAGAAGAGCAGATCGCATAGGTCGATAAAAACGAGAATCAAAATCTAAAAACCATGGATGACCACGAATTGTTGCCATGATTGGTGAATGCACTTCAGCTTCAAGTATAAGTGCTAAACCAAAAATTGAAGCACATGTCATGAAGCCAGCAGATACAGCAGCAAAACGCCAAATAGATACAGGTTCAGTAGAAGACTCAGAATCAATATCTGTAACAGAAGTGTCATTATTTGTTAGATTCAGAAGTGATGAATGATTAGCGTTACGAACATTTTCACTTTGAACAGAAGAGGTTTGCTTATCGTCCTTTTCAGTATTTGATGAATGGAAAAAACTGAACCATGATTTAGCAGGTGAAAGTGATATTCGTTTTTTGCCCTCCTTTAAAACAGGGACAATTAAAAAACTGCAAGTTAACGGAAGAATAATGACTGAATTTGAGAAAAAATTATATATATATATATATATATATATATATATATATATATATATATATATATATATAGTAGTGGTATAGCAAATAAAAATATTGTATACAAGGTTTTGTGATTCAGTAACAATTTGCACATGGTATTTGCCATCCATCCAACGACATTTATTGAGAAATCTATCATCGATACTCTTGCTCTTAATCATATTTATCCTGTTCACAAGTCCTACTCAAAATAATTAGTTGTATTGTATCGCGTAATGCCACGTAGTACACAATAAACAATAGAGATAATAATGCTTACTTATAAATAAGGAAGCCTTAGTTAACACATACGGCAAAAGTATACTTTATTGACGAATAAATCAAATTTAAGTTAGCGGGTATGGAGTTTTGAGCAGAATTCAAAATGCGATGACGAATAGCTTGCATCGTATTACGCAAAACCTACCAATATTTAGTTACTAAGAAGCTTAACATTGATAAAAAACATAACAAGATTGCATAACAGGGATCAACATGAGTGGCTTTCAAAATGGAAATGAGAAAGTGATTAGTTTGCTGCCGAAAATATAACGGAAAACAAGTAAAATTAAAACTCGATTATAATTGTTTTCTAAACGTTCGGACCACAAAGTGACAAATTCTGAAATTAAACATAGGATACTAGGTAAATATGACGAGTCAGTTAATGAGGTTGTAAATCTTTAAAAACTAAGGTGATTGAGAGATAGATTACGTATGATGAATCACAGCCCGCTCCTATGAATGGTATCGTCCGGTGTAAAAGCGGGTTGGTGAACAACATTATTTATTATTATTGGTACAAGAGGGCACCAAATATATATGCGCCACACCATATTTGTATGTGTGCGGGCTGTGATACTGCCCGGGTGCCCAAACCGAAGCAGGTGGTTTTCTTAGAAGGTCACTCCCCCAAGCCTTTGACCTAAAGGTCTAATTCACAAAGCAGTGGAGCATCGTGAGATGCGATCCCACGGTAGCCGGTGACCAACGATTGGTTCATACGCCTTTGTTCCTTCAGGATACTGGAGCCCATGTGCACCATTGATTTGGGATCTGCTTAAGGCGCCGGACATTCGCTTTTCGTCCTCTCATTTTCGTAAACAACACCTCCGCCATGAGAAGGCAGTGAGTAAGACTTCCCTTTGTAACCTGATTCCTGAAATCTTCTTGCACCCTTTTCCTTTTTTCGAAATCTAATCCCTTCGACTACAACTGGTACTGTCACTACTTGTGATACTTTGGGATTTTTCCTCATAATATTATCTCGCTGTGCCATTATGGTGTGGCAACTTGAATTGATGCAAATATGTCAGGGTTTTACAGTGCATATGACTAACTGAAAGTTGAAATGTATACATTTCAAAATGACTTATGAACTTTTCAGTCTTGAGATTTCAGATCAAAGAACTATTTGCATAAGTACTCATCAGTATGGTTACTAAAAGTTCTCCCATTCTAATCCCAACTCATAACGTCTTCCTTTTGTGAGTTGTTATATACTAGAATCATTTTTCGCCTGATTTTGCAGACGACACTGGCATCAAGCGATTTATACGTGACCTCTGTATGCAGAAAGAAGGTGTGATAAATCTCTTCTTGCATCGATGAAATAATGATATTGTTTTAACGTTTATAAATTACATAAACTAATCGCTGTATTCTATAATTAAACGAATCTCGCTGATGTTGTTTCACGACGCTAATTTTAATTTTATATTACCTACGTAGCCTTATTACCTCACATTTATTAAAAAATATAGTTTTTGATTTTGTCTGTTTATCATTATCTATGACATTGTTACATCTGAATAAAATGGTTACGAATCGGATTTTTGATTGAGTCTGTGGTTACTACTGATTACAGAACGACTGAACTAATTCTAAAACGAATAAGTTCAATGCAGGATTCGATTAAACATAATGTGGTACACAATAGCACTTCAACACTAATAATCTAAGAAAGCTTTGTTTTTGATCATTGAAGTGGAACAACTCAGTTTATATAACAACACTCGATGACCTGGGGATGCAACAAAATTAGCAAATTAGAAGTGACAACAGCCAATCAGATGATAGAAAAGGTCACTGAAGAAATATTAATTAGAAAAATGTCATTGACCTTATTCTATAAAGAAGGAATTAAGACATAACAACGAACTAAAAGTAAATAACCTGAGCTCTTGTTGGCAGATATTATCCCCTTCTTTATATGACTTTATATCCAACATATAAATACCCGAAATCGATCCTCACCATTATGTTAAATATGTTGTTTCCTATTCATATTTGTGTGTTTTATTGGTCGTTTTGAACTCACCCTTATTAATCACCGTGTGGAAAAAACTGTTATGATAATGTAACTGAATGCAACTTTATGCCATTTGCAGCTAATAATAAGTCTTGAACTATGATGAATTCGTGTTATTCCTCAAATCAGATTCTTTTCGATTTATTTAAATATGTCGGGCAGACCCAGAAAGTTCCTGTTAAAAACATAAAGGGGCCTTAAAAACGCTGGCAAACATTCTATCCAATCACCACTGAGAAGTTTCTCAGAAACATCTAGGAAGTGAAGAGTTGTGTGTCGCATTTCTGATTGGATGATTACCTATCCTGCTAAATACACCCAATTTTCTGTACATAAAATAACCTTGGAGTAAGGCGTTCTTCCCAAATTTCGAGTTTTTTCTCACGTGTTCAAGTTGAGTGGAGTTAGTCTGGGGTTATTAGAAGGGCTTAAGAAACCGATTCAAGCATTCAGTCAAATTTATCATAATATATTACTTGTACTCTGATTAAATGGAAACTGATTATTTTTAAAAATAGCTGAAAGTAATCAGTGAAGTATAATTAGACTGTACGAACTTTTTGTGTTGAACTAAGCCCAGTAAACACATTTTCGTAGTTACAATTTATTGTAGACAAAATCTTACGTGTAGTTACTATTACAAGTGCAATAAACACTAATGTTTATGAATCACATTAAAAGATATTTAGATCTTTTATTTTTACCTTACCTGTCCTAACTCATTGGTTAACCATGCTTCTCCAGCTTTGGCAGCAGAATTTAGAGCTTCCACTGCAGCTTCTGATGATGTATCATCATTGTCACATTCATCATCAGTATCGAATATATCTGAGTGATTTTGTTGATATAATCCATATTTCGACTGTTGCTTCACTAATTTTTTTGTTTTTGATAGAAAAAATACAAGAAAAACAATAAACAGTATAAATGGATCATAAATATCAGTGACCAGATTGTGTTTTGTTCACTATCAAAATGCTTTAGAAGAATTTTTATTCTTAGTTTAAAAATGATTTTATAAGAGGATGCCCAATTTCCCAATACAACATTTAAGAAGAAATTAATTTTTAAACGCATTGAATCTATTGAAAGTAAATTCTATTGACTGACATTCAATGTACTGTTATTTTACATTGAAGTAATGATTACTCAGTTAATAAATTACGTAATTAAACTTTTTTGGTCTCTCTCAATAAACAATTTTTAAAAAGATTTATCTTTGGGGGTAGCTATGGCTAGAAGAGACGATAGAATGTGTATACAATATCGGAGTTGTCGATAGAGTTTTATAAGACGGACTGACTAAATGTTAAAATAATCTTTACTCCAATTCCTCATACACTTAATAGAGTGGACCAAACCTCTTACATTCTTTCAACACTTCTTAGTACTCCTTTTATCCCCCTTATCAACAATTCTGTTATAAACTGACTGGGTGACCGATCAACAAAATATAAATCTTGCGCACAAAGTCCACTGTTATTTGTCTACATGTTTAAAATTTCTGTGGAAGTATGACGAAGTGTCGACATAATAAAAAGTGACAAAAATAAGGGAAAATAGAAAGTCTAGCCCAATAAATTTCGATCGTTTACAATGAAAATTGTAGCATCTTCAACATTCACTTATCACCTGTAGTTTCAAAGGTCAATATGTTAATCACATACACATTCGGATTAGAAAAAAAGATCGAGTTTGTACTTTCAAATCGAATATAAGTGCATTTAACTGATAAGTGAATTTCTACACTGTACCTTTCTAACGTTAAGAGCAATAAAAACACCTGTAGCTGTGTTTTCGGAAACAGTTTTATAGCTAACAATATACACGTTTTGAAAAAGCCTAAAACACTAAACAGAAACACTTATTGCTAAAATGTAAGCTGAATAACCGTACATACGGAAGTTCAAAGAGCTTATCAAGGGCACAAAGAAAACCAACGCTGGTAACCACTTTCGTATAGAAATGTTTGTATTAAAAAAATCAACCTACAGACCTCTATAGACTATTATACAAAAGACAGTTTCGAGTTACATAGAAAAAATTGGAAGACAATTTTAGCAAAACTCACAAATTTCACGTTGCCTTCTTTTAGCTTCTGTACTGAAACGATGTTTAGGTAGATTAGTAAAAAGTGGAACCAACTGATTTGAATTAACAACAAAGGGACCTGAGAGATTGTGTGAACTGACTTGATTTTCAATACTTTCCTCTATTGAATTATTAGTGATATTACGTGCTACTGAAGGCTCTGATAATGCAGGAGCTCGTGAATAGCCTAACGATGTTGATGATATTGATAATAATCCTGAAGTTGTAGTAGCTGGAGCAGTCTGAGTTGATTCACCATCTTCAACATTGTTTTCAATATGTGTATTCGTACTACGACTAGTACCATTTGTGAGAGCACCCATACTTAGACTATATGCATTACTTGAAGTTGGATTATTAAAAGAAAGATTTTCTTCAGCTACAGAAATTCCACTGAATGTAAAGTGCAAATAAAATCAATGAAGATAAGTTAACAAACATAAATAATTCTATGTATATTTGTGTAAATTTCTTTTCGAAATTATGATCATACTTTCAGATATATTAAAAAGCGTACTAACAATTAACTTAATACAAATGAGTACATTCGACAATGTATATATTTATAAATTATATACTTTGCTAATCAGTCATATTCAATTTATAAAACAAAACATTTCTATATTTTGAATTGTAAACTACGAAAAGCACAGCATTAAGAGTTCTACAACGTAAAACTGGTGACATATTAATATCTGTTGAATATAATAAGTTTAGCATGAACTGCAGTAAACTAGCTTTCAGTTATAGAGTTTAGTTATTTTTAAATAATCCTAATTCAGAGTGATTTAATAGTCATATTAAAGCCTTTCTAAATCAAACATAAGCACACATACTAGATCAACGAAACATTAAAAAAAGTAAAGATAAGGTAATCGTTATTTAAAATATTACATTATATATCTTTGACACAAAATGACTAATACATTCTATCCAACAGAATTCGAGAACATCGTCTAACTTGACTGAAAACAGGCAAGAACAAATCAGTGAGAAGTTTCATAATCAAACACTTTGTGAACACAGATGATTAGATCGAAACAGATTCAACATTCAAAGTTATTTATGAGGTAAGTAGAAACCTGACAAGGATAGTTAGCTTCCACCTTCTCAGAATTCCTGAAGCGTTTGCTACACAAACCAAAATTATGTATACAAAAGGAACTTATTCAACCTTTTAATTTATCATGTTCTTAATCTCATTTTTCAAAGTCACCAACCACGCCCTGATTTTTTTTTCTATAGACCTTTTACTGCCAACCAACTTATTTCTATTTTCACAATTATTAATCGTTATCTATTTTCTTGATAAATATTCAAACTCTTAACAACCACATTCATAGTTTCTTAAAAAGAATGAAATTTTTGTATATTTCACCGCTCTGTTGTCAAGTTGAGCAAATGATTATTACTACCATTGATTTAGTAAAGCAAGTATTTATTTTTGAATGCCCAGAATTGAAAATCGATTTGCTAAAAAGAGAACTCTTCGCCAAACCAGTCTCTTTTACTCTTAAATTTCACGAAATCTGCAAAATCAGGCAATATCAATCTTTTGTTAAAAGTATCAATTTCACTTGTTTGTGGCTACCTATTAGGGATGATAGCTGGAACATAGCATAAAATGAAGTCCAAATTTATCAAACAGAAACCATTTTGTAGTAGTTATTTGAATCCCCCTACTGATATCTCAGTTTTGAAAATTCAGATAGGTAATTCAACTGTGCATTTGTAAACTTACCATATATCAGTGGGTAAACTAGTGGTTAGCAGTGGTCTTCCAATAACTTCACGACGACATCGGCCACTGAAATCAAAGGAGAAGTAGTGTAAGATAATAATAATAATACAATGAATTCAAGTTACTGAAAATAAATTTTAGTAGGATAATTCTTTACTTGTTAGGACCATTAAAATTTTAATGAATTTTAATCCGTTGATGAATTTATTGTATGTATGACAATAATTTTTGACTTTCTTGATTTACTAAGGAAAAAATGCCCAGACAATAAAACAAATGTGAAATTCGATTAATAAGAACAAAAACTACCACCACCAAAACACAAAGATACCCCAAACGCACTTACGAGAATGTAAAGGTTCTTGTTCGTTGGAACAGTGTTTTCTTCGATTTAACCGGTTTGACAGATGAAGATTTATCTAAACTACAATTTGAAAAATAGGAGTATATATATGAATAAAGAGAATTGTAGAGTTAATTATCGTATGAAACTGGAAAATGATAATAGACACAATAGTGATTGTGTTCGCTAAACGCATGCAGAAAAATTTACATTTTTGTCAAACATTCTAATTAAAAGTAAAAGGTATTCTTTCTTCATGATAGCTGGAATTAGGTTGATAAAATACGGGAACCACTGCCCAACTGTGACTGGTTACATAGAAGAGTTAAGCTGTAATTTAATCACAAATTACTCAATCTAGAGAGTATGTTTTAGGAAGGAGACAGTATGCAACCCAATATTTCGGATTTATTTGTCTGCCGAAGCAGTTTAATCTACTGATAGCATAAACTATATACACACATTATGTTACTGGATGATGAATGTCAAGTACTACCTAACTAACTCGTATTCAAATGTGACAACTGACCAGATGATATGTCAATGATAGATAACCTAGTGTATTTTTTATCAATTGTGGATTCATTGTTGGTGCATAATAAAATCGTTATTAGCAGTCTTACCTTCTTCCCTTGAGTCAAGCTGTGCCAATATTTGTTTGGTTATGACAACTAGCAAGTAACAATAGTCCCATAGTTATGAAAAGTTGTTACTATCAAACTTTTGTCCAGTTATGACTACGAGGTACAAATAGTCGCAGTTAAAGACTATCATCACACTAAACATACGATTGTTGTATATAAGTTTACACTAAAAGTTAACAAATGACACCACCTGATAATCGATATGATCCTGAGGTGTATGTATTAACTACATATTCGAAGATTATTACACCCCCCTCTCAGAACAGTAGATGATCCAACATACATCAATTTGTTTTAAGTTTAAAAAAACAAGTGACTACTGATTCCCGGATAGGTGTAGTTGGACCACATAATATAAAAATCAAATGCTTTATATTTCCGAGTTATACTATGAATTACACTTTCATTAGTAATCTGATTAAACTAAGATTCTTTAAATCAGATGTAGTTTTAAATCACAAAGTAAAAATACATCGTTTTTACTGATAATTGACCTATGGTATTTATCGGGATGGTTATACAAAAACCGCACTAATATGATTATTTATTTCGGAGTTATAATTTTTAAATTTAGGTATTCAGAATAATTATTCAACTCCTATCACTTAGTCTTTTTACTTTGTAGTGGACAATACACTGAGGTTTTAGGTCAAGCTCTTAAACTTCAGAATAACAAGTCAATATCCAACGGTTTGCATGCTTAAATCCAACCACTTTGCAATATTGTTAATAAGCATATAATGGCTGAGCAATAACGTGAATTGATTGAAGTCAAACATGTAAACCACTGGATACGGGTTCACCAGTCTAATTGTTAAGTATGAAATATGGTCCTGGGTTAGGTAGCTTAATGGAGTCTTAGATGCGCACTACTGTGAAGTCCCATGGTAAGAAGAAACAGTCGTTTAGAATCTTTTTTCTGTGTTGTTTCAATTCACACTACTATTTCTGAACTAATTTTTAATCGACCTACATAAGGCTCACTTAACATTAGTTATACAGTCAATAGCATTAAGAAAAAAGACAGGCAGATTATTAAAAATTAAATAACATAGAGGATATTCAAACCAACTACTTATGTGATAATACATTAAAATCAAAACAATAAACATTAGAATATATACACGCAGTTTAAAATGTGTAAAAATCTGATTGATATCAAACATACTACGTACGTGAAAAACAATTGTCGATCTGATGCCCATTCCCATAAAGCTTGTGCAACAGACTTATTATCGCATTTATAATGAATAGTTGTTATTGTCTGTTAGCGTTAATCGAAGCACATAAAGATTTCAGAAAAAGCAAGACAAATAGACAATTGAACAATAATAATAATAGTAATAATAATAGTAATTAAGGAAGCTAAGACCCTACATTAAATAAACATACTAAAAAAAGAGTTAAGTTCGACTATTTTTTAACAACGACATTAGTAAAGAAAAACGCAAATATCTAAGCAAACACAAAACGAAGAGAAAATTGCCCTCACTTTAAATAAGCTACAATGAAATACATAATTTTAAAACAGAGCACAAGTAATAATAATAATTAGTAACGCCCATCAGCATAAAAGTTGTCATTTGCTATGATCACACATGCGCATACCTACAAAATCAATAACAACTGGAAAAAACGTAGCAGTGTTCAGCTATCCTGTAGATTTTCTTTTAACTGTGTTGTTCAAATTCAGACGACAGTATACTACTTTCAATGAATTACATAAACAAATTTTTTAGTTTAAAAAAATTAATTTTCATCAATGGGTAAGTCAATCGATCAATCAAATGAAAACAATGATATTTCAAGAAGGTTGAATTTGATTTTGTATACAAACAAACAGTTGATCGAAGAGGATATTTTTCCTCGTTGAAAGAAAAAGCAAACAAGAAAACTACCAACTAAAAAGCACATAAAATGTAAGTGAAACACTGCAAATCCACTCGCCATAACAATTTTATAGAACTTACTTAGTGTAAGCAATTATTTAATGATGACAAAAGAAATCTTGCATACAACAACAACAACAGATGCACTAGGATATTTTGAAAGAAGGAAAATATAAAAAGATACGAGAGAAAACTTTCTATATCACCTTTTCAACAAGAAAGTTACGAAGTAATCTTGTGTATGAATTAAAACAAAAAAGAACCGTCGTGATAGTTCAGTTTAAATATATCGTTTCAAGCATTCAGTCTAAACACAAACAAATATACCCTTTGAGCTATTGCTCAATTTATGAATTCATAATATCAGTGTGCCACAGAGCATAAGTTGCGACAAGATGTTTATTATCGCAACGGTATATAATTTTGTTTTGGAAATGTTGTTATAACTGATTATCTACAAAATATTGAAAGCTTTGTTGGAAAAATCTGACGTGCAATTGTATGCAACATATGATGAAGGGGAATGGCTATTAAATGAAGTAAGCTTTCATTCATGTCGGCAAAGACAATCATTAAAAATGAATTCATTTTTTTCAGTGATTTCAAGCTATCTAATAAAAACATTGTCAATGCAATGAATTGACTTGCAGATGTTTTTGTGGACCAATGCAACCATACTTATGAATGTGATTAGAAGGTAGTGGTTCCAGGATAATATAAATTATTATTATCATTATTAATAAAGGGGAGAAAATTGAAAGTTTAACAGGTGAGTAGTTTTTTTATCTAGCTATCGTAGAGTTTTGAACTATGGATAACAATCTATGTAAAAAACAGTTTGAAAAAAGCCATAAAGAAAGGGTTCTGTTCATATTTTTATAATGCTCATGCTTTTATCAAGTATTTGACATAAAACTATTAAAGTGAATGAGACATTCTAATATCTTTACACAACATTTACTTATATACAGCTCACGTATGACAACGTTATAATATATACATTCCATGGTTCCATTATTAAGGTCATACATTCAAACAAAATAAAATGACCAGTAAAGTTAGTTACCTTTTTCTTTCGTCCAGGATGCTATTAAAATGTCAAACAAAATAAAATTGAAATATAAGGAAAATTACCTATCATAAAACAAATATTAACTTCAATTATTAACTCATTGTGCTTCCTATTCACGTGGTCGCTAACTCGAACGACAGGACAGAGAGAAAACTATCAACAACCAAGAATACCAAAAAGATAAGATAAGAGTACTGACTAACATGTATGTAATTTCGGTGATCGAAAGTGTATATGTGATCGTAAAAATGCACTAGTCAGTCTTTGTTTATGTTATAATAAAGTGTTTTTAATTACTAATTTCCCTATGATTTCTTAAGAACTGGAACTTGAGAATTTAACTCTGAACACAATTATTTATTTTACAAAGGTTGTTGAAAAATTAATTTTATGGAAAATGTAAATCTATAGGAACATAATACGCAAAGAAACTTGATACTGATATACTGGACTGGAAAAACTACCTATCATTGAAAAAAAACACAGGAAATTGTATAGACTTTTTTGAATACTGATAAATCCATGACATCTAGCTGATAGTCACTATAGATACATGTATTATGTCTCATTATATCTTGGGTGAATGGATAGCTATGTAATAGGATAATATTGAATAGAAACCTTTAACCAATCTTCTACTCTAATTTTGAAGAAAGATCATAAATGCATAAGTACATTGATAATTTTCTGGTCTGATTTTTTACTGAATATTATTGAACACTAACTGCTATGACTATGTCAAAGACTGGTAAGTAGACTATTTATAACCATACTGATCAGAAAATGTTACAATTAGGGACTATACACAAACCAGGAAAATTAGTAGTTTCCAAACAAATTAATAACAAAAGTTAGAGAAATATAAGTCAAGCGAGTTTCTCAGGTGAATAATGACATCCAGTTAAAAATCGAATCTAAAACTCTCCCCATTTTAACAGCTTTTAAGTGATGGAGATGCCCAACAATTCACAGTTCAGGTTAATAAATAGCTTTAAAAAAGGGTGTTTTATCGTGATCTACTGTTAACAAAACTAGTCAACGGCGGAATAAGTGCTTAGTAGATCAAACAAGATAAGATTAGCAATAAACATTAAGACAAGAAGAAAAGTAACACTATGAAAATGAAAAACTTTTCCGACAAAACGGTTAGTATTTTATCACCTCTGTGTTTACGTGACAAACACACAGTATTGATACACACGAAAACCTATAATGGTCAGGAAGTACGCTTGACAGCATAAAGTTATTTTATGTTGATGTACGGAAGATTCCTAAGACCTGAAATCTACTTATGAGAAGACCATTATCCAACCCACGAAGTTATCACTCAAATTAGATTAAAACAAATAGCATTATATATATATATCGTAATGCGTAAGATTGCTTTCACTATTATTTAACACATAAAAACTAATAATGAAGTTTAATCACATCAGAATTAGTTTATGAGTTCTACATAGTGCATAAATTGAAGACAGTTAAAATAATAAATAAATTTTTCGGTTAACATCGTTATCGTGAAATCAGTGGTCCTATGAGATCGACAATAAAAAATAGAAAAAATTGAAATAATAAAATGAAGAAACTTACTTGATATGAAGTTGCAACAACAAAATCTCTGCCATTACAAGTCATCCAAGAGATAGCTGACCTGAAAGTCAAATATAAAATATTGATGATCAGTAAAAGAACTATTGTAGATTGACATATAATTTACAAGACCAACAAAAAGTTTTAATGAAAACGATGTTCGACAGATACAAAACAAAATGTTTACAAACATGATATAAAACTAATAATAAAATGCAACTTCTCGTTGGAAATAAAACATTTTTAAAAAATATTTTCTGAGATTTTTCTTAAGAATAATGCCTTAATTAAAAAAGAGGGAGGATATTTTCTATTATAAAGTATATATTAGGTAAACATGAAACGAATGAATCTAAATCACTTTAGTTAGTTCTACTTAACCCACGACATGGTGTGGTTTGTGCCACTGGTGCTGGCAGTTATAAGTAGTATGTATCAACAGTTGAAAGTGGAATGCCTGGAGGCAGAAGGTTGAGAAGATCGAACAGAAGAGAACGGGAACAGAGTAATTGATGTGGAAATGAAGGAACAATAGAGTTCGAAACAATTGATGGACATTTTGCAAATGAAGTATTTACTATATGGTTCTCAGATTTTACTAAAAGATTCTGTCCCCACTTGTGTTCTCGTTCACTAAAACGACACAGATATGAATTTATTCACTTTAATAATTAATAATATTTTTGATGTTGAAAAGGGGAATTATGAGAATGAGTAAACCATTATTATAAGCTAGTTCACAGATAAATATTACGCTAAGATCTGTTACAGATACGACTGAGAACTTCAAGGAACAAGTAAACTGTAGTTTAATCAACAAAACGATCAAAAGATGACAATAAATGAAAATTTATTCGAGATATCACACTAATTTAATTTCTCATTCACGAAAAATGTACACGAGAACAAAAGAATCAAACTTTTATTTACGATTTCCCATTTGTGCTTTCGTTAAGTGAATGATAAATGGTGATATTACAATTACTTCACCAGAAATACGAACGAGGAGGATAAATTCCTAATGACTGGATGCTCGGTGTAAAGCAAATCTGAAGATACTATTCGTTATACAGACAGGTGAAATGTAGAATTTTTCAGTCTTTTTTTGTAACTGCTAATCCTACTTCTAGTTCGAGCCCTGGAGTGAACATCAACCCTCGGATGCAGGCACGGTCGGATGACGAGTACCGAAGAGGACGAAACGTGCGTCCGGAATCCCACCGCTACCTATCACATATCTCTGTTTTCGTTTAATGCTAATGCATTTGTGTACAGAACATTCATTTCGACATGTAACATCGATGTGTGGGCGAGAATGATTGGTTGTTTCCTTAGTCAGACTTGTAGATAGTTTGACAGGCGTTAGATGAGTTAGATATTCTCCTGTCCTTATTATTACTGTGATTTTTGTTGGATTATGTCTGATTGTTGTCGGTTTTTTAGTGTGGAAATATATCACGTATTATTGACCCGAGTTGTGTTGAAATTTTGCAGAACAGATACTGGGAAGGAATCTAGTGTAGATATTTGTCTAAGGCAAATTAACGTCCAGTTCGTGTAGACGTGCAAAACTGAGCGTTATAACAAATATATTAGTTAGATTATCTCTTTGTTTTTGTTTTTTGTTCATATATAAAAATCAATCTATTCACTATTTACAATAAAACCAATGAATTGGATGATTATGCAAAATTATGCATCCTAGAAATCAATAAAATAATTTAAAAAAATAATAATGATAAAACTAGAGATAATCTACCATGGATATAACTTTTGGCGCCGGTTGCCTATAAATTCAGCTACACCTTGATGAGTAAGACCCAAATGTATGTGTCGTGAGCCATAAGCTTTAGTCTGAAGCAGCAAAAAAGAAAATAAAGAGAATCCAAAGAAATATATTACTTTCACTACTTTATTAACGAAAACTGAACCTGTATGTTACTGTACTAAGCATCTAACAATAAATCCTACACTGAAAACAAACATTACAATTTTATAAATATATTGTATTTTTTAGAAAATAACAGGAGTACATGATTTATGAAGAATAAATTGTTGAAATCTATATGGGGACTTGTCAAACTCTAATACTAAACGCATTGTCAATGAAACATTTCAGGTAGTTAAAGTATTTTAAAAAACCTCTTTTCAGAAAAGGAAATCACTAGGCATAAAATAACGGATGAAAACTACTGACATTACATTTTATGATCATGATGGAAACAATAATCAGCACCTTAAATTTAAACTGTAAGCATTAATGACAGTACGCCCATATTAAGATCTTAAATATCAGGTACACGGTGGATTAGTTTCAACAGAGTTAATAATTTTTCAAGAGTGCAATACCAGTCACTTACACATTGCAGCTATCACTATAAGTAAACATATTAAATACTGATACATTACGTACAATTGTTAGACAAAGATAGAATGTGATATTATTCTTCCTACCTAGTATGTCCAGTGTGTATGTACGAAATGAGCTGTTAATACCTTTTTATGAAGCTTGAAAAAAGTTCAACCCAATGAAGAAAATATCTCCCTTCAAGTTTATAAGGCACTTCAATTGAGGTCATGGTATCATAGGGAATATACAAGATCAGAATCATTATCGACCTTCTGCTTTAATTAAAACAACAAAAACCTTCGATCTCTAATGTCTGCCAATCGCCAATCTACTATCCAGATGAATAATGATTTACTAAATTTCGAAAAATCATGTTTATATGATTTCAGTAAAAGGTGAAACGTTGAAACAGCTGGAAAAAAAAAGATTTCTGAGTCCGTCGACGGAAATTTTGAACAGTGAAGATGGAGATAAAACAAATGCATTGCCAAATACGGGGAGTAGTTTGAAGAGGATAATATTAATTTACCTTTAAATTTTTCTTAATTCCAAATGCTTATAATATCACTTTGAGTATTTAATAGACAAATTACCCATTCATATAGGATGAAAATTTCGAAAAAAAACCCAAATGAAAACAATATCTAATGTGATTTGTTTAGTTTTGTTATCCATGTGATATTAAAAATGAATTAAACCATTACTAGTCTATAAAATCTTCATAAGTTTCATTAGTAAAACACAAAAGATTATAAAACTAATAAATGAAAAAAAAATTCTAATGAATTATAATTTTTTCTCTTAAATTAACCATATACATAAAAACTTAATTATAGTTCAATTAAAGAACAAAATCAGATTAAAAATAAGAAAGTAACTATATTTGGAAAAAAAAACTAGACAAAACTAGACAAAATTGGGATTATTTTATTTAAGTCTAGAAATTCTAAACAAATTGAACGAAATTGTCAATTAATAATAAACCACATTATTATCGTATCATTTTGTATATAACCCGATTAATTAAGGAAGTGGAAACATTTAAAAAATTTTGCAATATGATACATATAATCATTATGCATAATTAAAAAGAATTTATAAAGGAATAAGAATAGAAATAGATATTTTATTCAAAAGTTAATTAATCAAAGATGATTGAATACAACACACTAATAAAATTATTCAACTCGGATACGGGAACATATCCCAGCTTGGTTCTATAAAGGTGAATGGAAAGCAGTTAGGAGTTCTATACTTGAACATCTAATTGACTGTAACCAGTCTACAGATCCACAATTCGATTTTAAAGTTGTTTATATGATTCGTTCAAATCTATCCAGATTTCTTCGTATCCAACTCTTAAAAATAGCCGAAGCTCTTACCATCCACGAGCTTAAACCAGAACTACGCATACAAAAGAAGTACTTCTTATCATTATCGTTACCTTGGCCTTACTTATTTTGATTATCCTATTATTATTATTTTCTTACTGCATCTGTCTTATATTCTCATTATTTTATTCGTAAATGCTCATCATATCACTTTATTTATTTCTTACACCTCTGTGACCTTTAATTATTATAACAGAAACATTTAAATCATCGTATTATATTCACTAAATCTATTGTTATTATTCGTATTACGTAATCTAGTATTATAATCTTTTTATTACGTCATGGTTAATTGTGTTCACATTTCCTCACGGAATTAGTACTTTTACAAAAAACAAGAAAAATTTCATATATATATACGATTATACTGCTTGATAATAAATTCGTTGAAAAGAGATCCCTTCACTGAACTTCGTGTTTTAATTTTAAATTATTCAAGTGTTATTTGTTAAGAAGAAAATGAAAAAATCAAGAACAAAGCCAGGACTAACACAGGCCATCAAGCCGCCTATCCTTTCCAAACTGAAACTGATAATAGTTTAAACCATCATAATAATCAGTAGAGATTGAAAACAAAAATAGCAGGACACATCAGATTTGTGTTCGTACCAAATAACCAACAATATAACAGGTTTGGAATAGAAAAAAGTAGAAAGTTGAATAAAGGAAAATATTCACCAGTTATAAAAGAGGATAATGTGTATAGTTGTTTAAAAAATTTGCACAGTATTGCATTCTTTGGTAATGTGCACATTAATGACCATTAATAAAAACAATCGAGTAACCCACATATATAAGTTCGTAAATTCCGAATGACTATAAGCATTTACAGTCATTGTTCTTATAGTATAGTCAAAACTAACCTAGAGAGATTGGAACTTAACCAGGGAAGTAAAAGTAACAGAAATAGATTTTTAGATAAGATAAACACGGACTATGAGGAAGAATCATAGGTACCTGGAACCTGTTGACCAAGGAGTATATTTAGTGTAGAAGGAATCAGAGAAATTAATTAATGCCATTTCATTAATCATTGGCTGAAGAAAAAAACAACTAGAATCCTAAAACTTTTATTCCTTTAATAAAATAACTAAATTTTTCTGTTTTTGAAATAAATATTTCCCTATCAAGTGCCCCCCACCCTCTCACCATGTCACTGATATACACAAGTTTTTAGAAAATTATGATAAAATATCAAATAAATGGTGAAATGATTGTTTAGTTTTAATTTAATTATCCAAAGAAATTAGGATAACAGAGGAAAATCTTGAATTCCTTAGAGATCATTCCATAAATAATAGTTTGTATAATAACAAATTAAAAGACGGATGAATTATTTCGTCAAACAGCCAATTGTTAACATTATCTGCACAAAGTAAAAGATTAGAAATCTAAGTTAAACAACGAGGTCTCTTATATATGTATATTATTATCTCAACACACAAATGTTGGTATAAAGGGGCGCCAAAGTAAATATGCACCACACGATAAGAAAATAAGGTTGTGAGGAGATAGTGGAGAGCTCAATAAAGAAACAAATGAGTCGAAATGAGTAAACCAATAAAAAAAGTATTCTTCCAGTCAAAGAAGTTACTCTCACTTTTAGGAACGAAGTGAAAAAAAGTTACAGCAGGACTGTCACTGACTTCTGTTCTGAACCATGTCACTGTGCCGAAACATACGTTGCTGAACATCTGCATTACTAAAATGATGTTGCCACTGAGTATCAGCAATCCTTTGGAGACAACGATAATCAAACACAGGGAGTCGACTGATATTTTCAATTCAGATAGGCCAAGTTTTACAAACAAGGTGGAACTACTCTCATCGATACGTTGTAAACCCGAAATGAAGGCCAGACAGCGCCGAAGATGGCCCAGATTGGCATAGATCGCTCTGGTTTCCATTGTACGCAAATTGGTCTCATCAGTCATATGAGGATCACCAATTACGCAGCTACCCAAATAAACGAGCTTTTCGATCATATATATAATGCAGATCATTTCGCTTTTGCGCGAACACTAGTAATATTATAGTTACTGAGATGTTTCATGCGAATTACCGAATTGGATAACTATATGTAATAACATTCACTAATCTTGTAAGAACACTTATTTTGATTTAAATAGTTTGATAAGGCAATAAAATGTCAATTGTTTAGATGAGCTAATTTTATGGAGATTATTATTTTCGGTAGATCATACTGATCTCAAATGGACAGCTATTTCTTCCTAATAAGAGACTCTTCGATCTCCAACTTTAAGTATCAAAACGAATGAGGATCGCCGATATTTTGGTGTAATTTGTTCCAGAAACAGCTTTATTTTACCATAAAAAGAATATGTATGTTACAGTACATTGAAGAAAATAATAACTGCTAATTTATTTGCGGTTGTAAATAGTTGTATAAGTTAGACCAAAGTAGTTCGTACAGCAAAGATAAAAGACACATAAAGCAAAAATGATGAGGCGTTTCGAAATTTAAATGTAACTGATTCATTTTATTACTGAGTACAATTTACTCCGTATGAACTCTTTGAAGAACTACAGGAACCCAGAAATACTTTTTATGATGATCTACTATATGAAGTGGGAAAAACGTATAAGAATAATCTTTGCAAAGAAATGCATGTTTTAGAAACTATCTGTAACCACCTGTCATCTTCGATAGTTTAGTGATAAAGTCATTAAGCTTTTATTCATTTAGCTCTCGTCCTGTGTAGTTTAGTTTGGGCAACCGATTAGCACTACTATTTCTTATATCAGAAGTATAGCTTCAAGTTAAGTATATCAACAAGTAATTGGCTATTGGGTTATATTATATTGTTTTTATCAATTATTATATTTAAGTTTTACTAAACAAAAACTGGAGAACTTTACATGATAATAACGACATCCCCCTATATCTTAAGGGGAAGGGATACAGGTTTTGTCAAGGTAACACTTACTTTTAAATGACGTTTATCAATTAAAAGCAAAACTGCAATCAGATGATTGATCTGATTTGATAAAAAAAATGAATAGTAAAACAGTGATAATTCTATGAAGGTTTACTACACCAAACTGATAGCAAATACGAACTGAATATAGAGACTTCTACAGGTGCCCTAAAA